GCCCCGGGACCCGCGGGGGTGGCGCTGCGCCCCTGCCCTGCCGTGAGCCACCCGGCGGGTGAGGCCGCGTCCGGCCTCGGGAACTCTCCGGTCGCCGCGGCGCCCGCCTTCGTCCCTGTTGCGCGCCGCGGCCGGTGTCTGGCGGCGGGGGCGAAGTCGGAGGCCCAGTTGCCGGTGGGCCGCCCCTTCTCCCCGGCAGCCTCTTCCTAAGGAGGAGTCTCCGGGGCGGGGGACCGGGCACGAGAGGGAGGGGGCAGGCTTGAGCGGCGGGCAGAGGGTGGCGAGAGGGCAGCGGCAGTTGCGGGAAGTTTGGGAAGGTCTGACACCCAGACGTCTCCGGGCAAGGACGGCGACTCTGCGTCTGGGAACACAGGGGCGAGCGCGGCGCCCCCGGGGACCCTGTTGCCGCGAGCTCGGGGTGTCCCGCGCTGGTCGGCGGCCGCTGGGGGGCGGGGTCCGGCTAGCGCCCGGGATCCTGACGCTTTAAACCACCGCCCCCACTCCGCCCCCAAAACACACACGCACCCTTCCGGGCGCTATTCTCGGCCTCCGACACCTTTCCTGGGTCTCCGGCCCCTTTCTCCTGTGTCTTCCCCCCTCGGCCTCCCTCTGCTTGGTAAAAAGTGAGTTTGGTGTGTGTCGTTCGCGTGGCTGTCATTAAGGCAGTCTGTTATTGTGCGAGGCTGAATCAGTGGCTCTTTGTGCGCTCAGCTGTATGGTAATGCAGACCGCACCTGCTCCCCGCACAATGCGGAGAGAAAGAGCTCCCCTCCGCGCGCGCCGCGGCCTCTGCAACAATGTCCGGCACATGTTCTAAAGACCCTCTAGCCTGGCCGACTCAACCCGCAACCTTCGCACAACCATCACCTTATTAGGGTTTACACGTCCATCAGACACTAGAACTTTTGTTTTCACTTTTTTTTTAAGGGAAATGAGTTTATTGGGAGGGCCGAGGACACACGTTACCACACAGTGAGCAAATCTAAATTGCTCTCGTGCTTGCGGGCGCCATGCAGAGTTAAGGTGGGGCAGGGGCTCCTCCTCCGGCGTCCAGCTTCGTGCTGGGCGCACTTCGAGGTCTCTCTCCCACCCCCTTCTGCTCCTCCTTTATTCCCCCCTCCCCCCAACACCTAGGGCAGCTTCATCCAGGATGAGCAGTGTGAGCATTGGAGTACATGTCACTTTGATGGCGGCACAGCCCCAGGGCGCCTGGCCACAAGGGCCTTGCTCTAGGTGTGCTACAGCTGCCTTGTTACTGTCCTGGCAAAGTGTGACTTTCATTGAGGCAGATGTTGAGATCACAGTGTACCATATAATGCACAGGAAGAGGGAAACTTCTCAAATACCAAGTAATCAGTTGAAGTCATTCATGGCCGTCCCTCCAGCTGTTAGTCAACAGGCTCCCAAATACCTTCAGGACAGATTTTAGGTTTTCCACTGATGCCAGAGAAGCAAAGAATTAATCGAAAGTAACGTGCATGTAATGTTTAAGGCTGAGGTGAGAAAGGCAGGCTTGGACCCCACCAGAACCCCCTACGGTTTGGTTCAGAACAAATGGAGACTTCAAAACCTCCTGTGCCCCCATGACGGTGGCAGTCCCAGCGTGGCCGCCCTCTGGGGACTTTTCGAGGACTCGCTGCATCACCACAGGGCTGGGCCAGTGCGAATCCTAATTTAATCTTGCCACCTAGTGTCAGCATCCTTTTTTCACTACGTCCATGTTTCCTCTGGAAGCTAATTTCTGAGAACTCTGCTCCCTACTGCATGGAAGCTGGTGTGTTTGTGTGTGTGTGTGTGTGTGTGAGAGAGAGAGAGAGAGAGAGAGAGACAGAGAGAGAGACAGAGAGAGA